GCGCCCGAGCAGGGACACTAAAGGAAACGAAACATAAAGGAGAGTGCCGTGAAAAAAAAGTGAAGTGAAAAAAAAGTAAGAGAGAACACAAGTGATAGAGACACTGAGTTCAGCGACTACCCGAAATACCCAAATTTAAGAAGCAATAAGGGCACAAGTGAGAGAGACACAAAGTGCAGTGACCACCCGAAGAACTACTAGTGAAGAAACAGTGTGAAAAAAAAACAATGGTGAAGAGAAAGTAGATACATTACCTCAACCGAGAGGAGCTGCTGACCTATATGGCAGAGTTCGGTCTCGAACAGACCGGAACAGTCGAAGAGCTGCGAAGACGCTTCTCTGCATTTATTCAAGAAGAGAGTAACAACGAGGACTACCAAACGCGGTTCGAAGAGCTAGAAGCGAAACACTCAAAGCCTGCGCTGAATGTTACCGCAGCAACACCAAGTGGAAGCCAGGGAGCCAGTGTCATGCAGTCACCAATGCCCGTTGACGCGTTTGAGACACCACAGCCATACGCAACGTATCCTACGACATCGCTGGCAACCAGCATGGACCGAGTTCGTAAGTGGGGTTTCAAATACGACGGCGGCCGAGACCCGCTCAACTTCATCGAACGTGTAGAAGAATTGGCGGAAGTATACGAGGTGAATCGTGACTTACCGCGAGCGATGCCAGAACTACTTAAGGAGAAGGCGTTGACATGGTTCCGCAGTAATAACCGGAATTGGCGACAATGGGAGGACTTCAAACGAGACTTTCTAAGGTTCTTCTTAAACTCTCGCTACCACGAAACCTTAGACGATGAGATCCGTCGTCGCGTCCAACAACCGAACGAGAAATTTAAAGACTATGTGTTGGCCCTTCAGAGTTTGATGCGACACGCGAACTACACCTCAGAGCAGAAGCTGACGCGTATCTACAGAAACTCTAGAAGCGAGTTCCAATGGTACGTCAAACGATCCGAGTTCACCACCCTAGAAGGGCTAGTGAGTTTGGCGGAAGATATGGAAAATATCCCCCCGGTGAGAGAGCCACAAAGAGCCGCAGCGCGAACCACTCCGCGGGTCACGGAGAGATATCAGCACATGCGCGAACTGCCTAGGAGTGACGAGACGGCTAGAGCAGAGAGAACACAGCGCCGACCTGAACCACACAGCGGTGTGGCAACACCACAGACGGAGTACGTTAATCCGTGGACTGCGTGTAGACATTGCGGAGAAGATGGCCATTTTGCGAGAGAGTGCAGAGCTGCACGGACAGAGTTTTGTTGGACCTGTGGTCGATGCAATGTCCCGACTCGAGAGTGCTGCCGTAGTGCATCGGGAAACGGGTCGAGGTCCCATTTGCGGCGAGGAGTAGGGCGTCAGGTAGAACAGCCTCGCCCAAACTAAAGAGTGTCCTAAGGCAGTCGGATGGCCGAATTATGGCGGCGATTAGAGTAAACGAGGTCGACGTAGTAGTTGCAGTTGATACAGGCGCAACAAGAAGTTTCTTGAGCGAGGCCATGTTTAAGAAACTGGATGTGGGAGAGGTTAGGAAGGTGAACACGCGTGTGGTAATGGGAGATGGGAGATCCAGAACGGTGCTGAAGGCTATAACGGCGCAAGTGGAGCTGGCGAATCAGGCGCATGAAAGCGATCTTTTGGTACTGCCTGGTTTGTTGGATGACGTGGTGCTTGGAACCGATTATCTGGCAAAAGCGGGGGTCCGATTATGTTGCGGAGACTTAGACGTGACACTCCGAGAAGAGAGCTGCGCACAAGGAGTAGAAACGTTCACGGCAATACGCGAGGGAGGTGCAGAAAGGTCAGGTAAATGCGATGAACCCAAATCAAACCCCACATCTACAGAAGCCACGACAACCGACGAAGCGAGGGAGTTCTTAATGTCAGAGTTACGCAAATTTGAGAAGATGTCTGGAGTTTCAAATATTGCCACTCACCGGATCGTCATGAAGGATGACCGGCCGATCAAGCAGAGGTATTGCCCGAAGAACCCGAAGATGCAGGAAATCATCAACGCGGAAATCGACGACCTTATCGAGAAAGGGTGTATTGAACCCTCACACAGCCCGCACAGCGCCCCAATAGTGTTGGCGAAGAAGAAGACCGGCAAATGGAGACTCTGCGTCGACTACCGACAGCTAAACGAGCGTTCAGTGCCCGACGCGTACCCCCTACCGAAGATCCAACATATCCTTGATCGACTACGAAGCGCGCGTTACATTAGCAGCCTAGACCTGAAAAACGGTTACTGGCAAATCCCAATGGAAGAGCAGAGCAAGCAGTACACTGCTTTTACAGTGCCAGGGCGTGGCCTTTTTCAATGGCGAGTAATGCCGTTTGGGCTCCACTCCGCCCCCGCGACATTCCAGCGTGCGTTAGACCAAGTTATCGGTCCAGAGCTAGAGCCGTATGCGTTTGCCTACCTGGATGACATTATTGTCATCAGTGCAACCCTGCAAGAGCACGTCCAACATCTTTCGGAGGTCTTCCGACGGCTTAGGCAGGCGAATCTTAGGATCAACCCAGAAAAATGCGAGTTTTTCAAGAAGCAGTTGAAGTATCTGGGTCACGTCGTCAGCGAGAAGGGCATTCACACCGATCCTGAGAAGGTCGCGGCTATCAAAGAGCTGACACCACCGACAAATATAAGGAAGTTACAGGTTCCTAGGGATACAGGGCTGTCATGGAATCCAAGTCGGTTTTGCTTTTTGTCGGAATTACAAACCAATATTGGTTTCATTTGGTGTCATGAAACCGGATTGGTTTTGCTCTTTTCGAACATAGACAAAACCGATGTTCGAATCAGCTGTTTTGCTCATTTGTGTGCATGGCGGCAATTTGAATGTACATTTTTTTGACACAATTTTTTAAAATTGAATTGTTTTCATTAATTTAAATAAAAGTAAGTGAGCGCAAAATGACATCCGCAGTTATCGCATTTCTGTTCTTGGAAGAAGAAAGTTCCGAGAAGGTTAAAAGAAAAATTTTGAGAGATTGCGGCGATCCACTTGAGCTGCCCGAGACAGCGTAAGTAGATTGTTTTTTAATATGCGTTTATAAATATTTATAGCGTATTTGCAGTTTCATAGCATATTATCGCCTAAACAAAGAGGTACTTGACACCATTGAAGGGCACTTGACACGTTCGAAAGTTCCACCAGTGCTGCAGTTAGCAGCTTCGTTGCGATTTTTAGCAGAAGGATCCTGTCAAAGATCAGTCGGGAACGATTCTAGCATAAGTGTAGCTAGAAGCGCGGTGTCAACGATTTTAGATGATGTGCTTAAGGTTATGGAGCGGTTCATTTGCCCTCAGTGGGTGAAACTAGAAATGGACTGCATCGAAAAGCGCATATCAAGAGACTATTTTTACTTAAAGTACAAAATTCCCTCAATAACACACATAAAAATCATTAAGCCCAGTATTGACGAACATTTATTTTATAATCGAAAATAATTCAGTATGAATGCCCTGATTGTAAGTAATCATGAATCTTCATTTTATTCGTACATTGCCTTGATTTATATATATGCATGTACATTTTTATTTAGATGTGTGATGGTGACATAAAAATTCGAGCCGACTAATAAACAAATGAAATCCAACAGCCGTTAGCTGCTTGGTTTGTTTCCGATACCAAAATCGATATTATTGGTTTCTGTGACACCTAAAATCGACACTAATTCCGATTCGAACATAAAACCGATAACATTGGATTTCATGACACCAAAGTAATTTTTTTGTCGTTTTTAAATCCAATTCCGACAACAATTGGATTCCATGACAGCCCTGATAGCTTCATGGTACCGAAAATTTGTCCCCGACTTTTCCAAAGTGGCGCATGCGCTGACGTCCATGCTAAAGAAGGGCCACAAGTGGAAATGGAACGACGAGCAACAGACAGCGTTTGAGGCGCTGAAGAACGCGCTAACCGAGGCACCAGTGTTGGCTTGCCCCGACTTTACGCAGAAGTTCACTCTGCAAACAGACGCGAGCGACTACGGGATGAGAGCTGTTCTCACCCAAGAGATTGAAGGAAAAGAACGCGTAATCGCATATGCGAGTCGCCGGCTCAACAAGGCCGAACTTAATTATTCACCAACGGAGAAAGAGTGCCTGGCCATAGTGTGGGCGATCAGAAAAATGAGACCCTACCTAGAAGGATATACGTTTACCGTCATCACCGACCACTTAGCGCTAAAATGGCTGAGTAAGATAGAGAGTCCATCCGGTCGGATTGCAAGGTGGGCGCTGGAACTGCAGCAGTACTCCTTCGATGTGCAGTATCGCAAAGGTAAGCTTAATGTGGTAGCAGACGCGCTGTCAAGACAGCCCCAGGAAACATTGCTTGGTTCAATGACGGCGGGAGGAGTAGCGGTAGAGTGCAAGTGGCTGAAAGACAAGATGGCGGAGGTGGAGAGGTCCCCACAGAAGTTTCCTGACTTTGTCATCGAAAATGGTGAGCTGTACCGGCGAATATCAGGCCAAATCGACGGTGAAGACGTGTTGCCATGGAAATTATGTGTACCGACAGAGCAAAGGCAGAGGGTGTTAAGGGAAATTCACGATGTTCCCAGTGCAGGCCATATGGAGATCAGAAAAACGATAGCGCGGGCGACAGCGCGATATTATTGGCCGGGCATGTTCCGCGACGTGAGGAAGTATGTGCGACAATGTCAGACCTGCCAGCTTTACAAACCAAGCCAGCAGCAACCAGCCGGAAAGATGCTGACGCAGCTAGCGGAAGAACCCTGGGCGACGGTGTGTGCTGATTTCGTAGGACCTCTTCCGCGATCCAAGCATGGAAACACTATGGCGCTGGTAATACTAGATCGTTTCTCAAGATGGGTCGAGATTGTACCAATGCGGAAGGCAACAGCGGAGGGAGTAATTCGAGCAGTGAGAGAGCGGATTATCGGCAAATTCGGCATTCCAAAAATCTTGATCACGGATAATGGAACGCAGTTTACCAGCTCGAAATTTAAGCAATTCCTGGAGGAGATGGGAATAAGGCACCAATTCACTGCTCCGTACACACCGCAGCAAAATCCGACGGAAAGAGCTAACCGTAACATCAAGCGACTACTGGCGCAGTTCGCAGGCAAAGACCAGAAGAGCTGGGACGATCTGTTGCCAGAAATGACTTTGGCCCTCAACACTAGCGTGTGCGACGCAACGGGTTACAGCCCGGCGTTCGTCGTCCAAGGTCGAGAACCAAGGTTACCGAACGCATTGTATGACGAGAATACGTTAGGAACCGGCGAAGATGCCATAACACCGCAAGTAAAAGCGGTGAGAATGAAAGAGGTGTTTGAGTTAGTGCGACGAAACCAACAAAAGGCAACGACAGAGCAAGCGAGACACTACAATCTGCGAAGAAGATCGTGGCAACCGGTCGTGGGAGACAGGGTTTTGGTGAAAGAACACTTCTTGTCTAAAGCCGTGGACAATTTCGCGGCTAAGCTTGCACCGAAATACGGCGGACCACATCGCGTACTAAATTTTATTTCGCCTGTGATCGTCGAACTCGACAAGGTGCACAAAGGGAAAAGAAGAACAGCGCACGTGAGTGATCTCAAACCATTTTATGAGAGCAACGCCTCAGGTGAAAATTCCCCCGTGGCATCGTCTGAGCCTAATTCGGCGCACAGCGGCGAATAGGTAAATTTCAGCAGAGACTGAAGTGTGTGAACTCGGCAATTGCCAGCAGGGGAGCAACTGCCATGACAGCAGAGACCCTGAAAGATGAGAAGCTAGCCGAAGAATCCTAAATCTGATGAAGAAGAAGAATAATAATAATAATAAGAAGAAGAAGAAGAAGAAAAAATAAAGGTTCCAAGGGAAAACAATGAAAGTGGAGATGGCACGAAGCACAAAAGAAAATTATAAAAAAAACAAAAATAATAATAATTATCATTATAATATTAAAATTAATAATAACAACAGCAATAGTAATATAATTATAAAATATTGATAATAATTATAATTATAAATATTAATAATAGCTAAAACATTTATAATAACAAAATAATACTAATTCTACTAATAATAATAATCGTAATAAGAAGAGGAGTAATACCGCAATGGCAACCCGAAATCTACTCCAGTTCACATCAACGCTACAAAACTCCCTTTTGGATAGTCAGCAACCCCGACACCAAACTACAGCTGTGCGAGGATGACAAATAAACAAATAAAAACAAAATATGCAATGTGAAAGTGAAACGGCAGCAAAATTACCGAAATTTTGCTGGAAAAGTGCCGGAAAACTAGGAAAATACAGTTGGTCGCGCAATGGCCACTGTCGGCAATAAAAAGGATGTGCCGCGGGCGCCAAGGCACAAGTTCGCGAAAATATGGACCAACAGCAGCAGCAACAGGCAAATTTTGTAGCCGAGCAAGTGGAGGGCGGCGTTTTGCGCGTACGCATAAAGCGCCTAACAGAGCACGAAATTCGACGCTACAGTAGAAGTGACAGCAGCGGTGGAGACCGGTCGAGTAATTCGAGCGACAACAACAGCACCGGAGGCGAGCATGACGACGCTGGCCGGCCAAGTAGCCCCAGCGAGGGCGGTAGCAACAGTGGCAGGCAGCAACAAGAATTCGGCGTCGAGGACATCGAAAGCCTCGAAAGTACGCAGCCGTTCGTACTGCCCCAAAATAGCGAAGATGCAGAGATGGCTGCCTATTGGGGTGCAGAGTACTTGGCAAACAATACGCCACATTTGACGAGCGAAGAGGAGGAGATGGAGCACGAATCATCGCACGTAAGCGTACGATCCGACGACAGCGGGCCAAGCGGTGAATGTGATGGCGAAGTAGAGCGGGCACCAACACCCATAACCATCTCGTCCGACGAGGAAGAGGAGTATGCCAAAAGGCAGGTCGAATTCTCCATCGCGACGCAAGACGCCAGACACCTCGGTAACGGGTACGTAGAGTATGCGCGCCATATTGACATGCGCATCAGGCTATACGACCCGATGCCATCGGAAGAGCCACATCCACCGCCGCAACAGCTGTGCCTTAGTGATGGCGCGATGGAGGCGTGTACGTTGGCGAGCGGTGGACGAAGTGATTTTGTGGAGGAGGCGCCGGCGGAAGCGGATTTTAGTGTGGCAGCAGATGCCGACTTAGTGGCGGAAATAGAGCGTTGGCTAGAAGAGGCTGAGCCGAGAGTGCCATCGGAGTGGCAGGTCCATCCGGACGTAGGTGCGTTGCCGGAAGAGTTGGTGACGGAAATTGAGTCGCACGTAAACCACCAGCAACTGAAGCGGCAGTCATTCAGACGCATCGTGAACGGACAGGCGTACAGAGTGCGAATCACCAAAACTGGCAAGGTGACCGTAAGTCTTGCTGCCGGGAGTAAGGAGGGAGTGTGAGGACCCCGGATCCTGTGGCCCTGGGCCCCACAACAACTTTATATACACATACATATATATCCTTTGTACTATTTA